GTCACAGACTCCAAAAAATAATCGTAAAAATATCATACTTTCGTCCTGAATATCGAGAAAACACTTCATACAGTGATTATTGGACCTTTAAAGATTATTCTTAGGAAGTTTCAGCTGAATCCAAGTTTGAGCGATTTTCGTCGTAGTAGCACTTTAACTAAGTCTATTATGGTTGGTTTGTTAGCTTCCATGTACTCCATAATGGCGCCAAACAGATGGTTGCAGCTCCCTTCCGCGAATAGACGATGACGAATTTGGAAAAAGCTCCGTCTTTTTATCAAGTTTTAAGAATATATAAAACTTTAAAAATAGATACAATGTCAAATTCTTTTGTTGTTCATCGCAGTTGATGTCTTTTGTTTTCAAATGAAAAATAAGGTGATTTTTAAACTTTTCAAATCAAAATAGAATAAATGAAAAGCGTTAATTTTCGAGTTTCAGCTCAGCAAATGAAAGTAAGATTTCAAGAAATTAAACAAATTTTCATTTGAAAGTAAAATTGCCGGAAATTGCCACTGATTGTAGTAGTCTTGATAATGGTAATTTCGTTTTTATACTAATACATTTTCTTACAAAGTTAATCCAATCGAACAACATGACTTCGGAGCCGTATTATGATCGCGCATGATTTCCGTCTGAGTAAAATTCAATTATATGTTTTGAGATGACTATTTTTTACTTGTCTCTAATCTGCAAGTATATTGCTTGACAAATAAACGAATCACAACGTTAAGCCTCCGGAAAAACGACCAACGAGACCCGCCTTTTACTGACATAAGGGATCAAAACTTAAAACCACTAATTGACAAAGGCGAAGAGAAAAAGAACATTAGCAAGGGGTTTATAACATGGGGAATTTCTGCTTTCTTTAGTTTTAGCGCACTATAACTGAACCAACATAAGATTCAAACGTTTTGAGCTAATCTCACAGATATATTCCCTATTTGATGATTTGACTTTTTTTACAAGGATCCTGGGTTGATGCTATAATTTCGTGATTTCTATGTTGAATATCTCGGCAACGAAAAGAGACATAAAAAAGAAAGTAGGGGCCATTCTTATTTATTATTTAAGGACTTTCAAATCAGGAAAAGATCCTGTAGGCTTGATAGGCACTTTAAGGTTAACTAAATCGAATTAAACATAAACACTTTTTTAACTAGAGTGGTTTTTCTAACTTAGAGAGGGTATAGAACTAAAACTCGGGAGAAAATATCTTGCGAAAAGCTAGATGAAGTCCGGAATTGTTTTTCTTCAAAGCAACAGACTTTTAAAAGTGGTGAATAGCCGGGGAAAATTGCTTTCACTTGGAAATGGAAAAGAAACTAAGCAGTCCTTCAAATAACCGAGCCAAAAAAAGTAATGAACATGTGAGGATTCTTTTGCTAAAGATTTAGAAAATAAAATGTAAGCAAAATCAAACAAAATTCATAACAAAATCCACTGTTTTTTTTTTTGAAGAGTGTAAGGGTGTGTAAGTGTCT